CATCAAGTCAATTCCAACTCACAGCAACCCCTTTTGGGTTTCTGAGGCAGTAAATCTTCACGGAAGTAGATTGTCCAGTCTTCCTTCTGTGGAGTGGTTGGTGGATTTGAACCACCAATCTTCTGGTTACCAGTCAAATGCCTTAGGCACTATGCCACCAGAGCTCCCCCTAAACCTCCAGAAACACTTTCTCCCCAAATATAACAATAAGTAGGAGAAAGTATTCACCTCTCGGAGCGCCTGCGAAGGGTGGTGTCTTCATGAGTTACTCATGGGAAGCCTGCATGCTGTGGTCTGAGTATAAATGTTAGAGGAGAGGAAAAATCGTTAGAACCAGGTGTTTGTGCTTTGCTGGTCCAGGAAAAAGAAGGTGCAGGGATGTCTTGTGGGTTCTGCAGGTTGTGTAGTGCACATTTCACATTATAATGAAATTAATTTAACATTTAGGTGCCCCTTAGAGGTGTACAAAGGAGTTCTGGGGACAGAATGGGTAAGTACTCGGCTGCTAACCATAGGTCCATAGTTTTACGGGAGAAAGATGGGGCAGTCTGCTTCTGTACAGATTTACAGCCTTGGAAACCCTACAGGGCAGTTCCACTCTGTCTTATAGGGTTGCTATGAGTCAGAATTGGCTCGACAGCAACAAGTAGACTTGTGCACAGCTGAGTCTGCACAGTCACATGCTAGGAAACTACCCAGAAAAGGCTCTTAGGCCAGTATTCCAAGTGGCGATCTGAGGCCATTTCTGCCTCTTCCAAGCTTTTCACATTTTGTTCCTCCCATGGAGATATACGCAAGAACTGGGAGTGTAGGTTGGCTTTGGAGCCCATCCCCCACACACAGCCATCGCTGCTTCTGCATCAGACCGGGGGAATGGATGATTATGCAGAGCCTTTTTCTCCCGCCTAAAAATAGTTTTTGATTAATAGGGAAATGTGTGTGGTCTTCCTCGCTGCTTATTTTGGGGCAGGCAGCAATGACTCCTGGATGAGAGACCTGCTGTACTAACAGGAAGCAATGCCACAGATCAGGGGCTCAAGCCAAGCTGAGTGCAGGGAATGGTTTCCGCCAGAGTTTGCAAAACTAGGAGAAAAGACACAATCACATGCTGGCCAATCTCAAAATCTGTAAGCGGAGAAATACCTAAGGCGGCCCGCGTTACCCCTCCTGCTACCCTTCTGAATAGACCACAGTATGAAGAGTTTTAGGGTCACTTCTCCTCATTCTCACTCATTGGTTGGAATTTGGCCAAGACAGCTCTTAAATAGGTGGCCTTCAGTGAAAGAGGGTGTCCTGATGGCACAATGCTTAACAGCTCAACCATTAACCAAAAGGTCATTGGTTCAAACCCACCAGCCAGTCTGTAGGAGAAAAGACTTGACAATCAGCTCTTATAAAGATTATAGCCTATGAAACCTTATGGGGCAGTTCTACTCTGTTATATAAGGTCACTATGAGTCATTATGGACTCAATGGCAGTGGGTTATATATTTTTGATATGCCAAACAATGTGTAAGGGCTTTACATTCATCATTTCAGGTATGTAACCCTCATGAAAATGATGACAGTAAATCCTATTATTTTCATTTTTCATATAGGAGAATGTGTATCAGAGAGTTTAAGTAACTTGCTCAAGATCCCACAGCTAAGTGGTAAAGCTGGGATTTGAACTACCCAGGAACCTGCATTCTTACCACTATGGATGATTAATGGTGTTATCAATCTGAACAGGCACATTCCCATCTGACAATACCTCAGAGGTTACAAAGCCCCTGACTTAATGAAGACCAGTGCAATGACTTCGGTTGCACGTCCTCTCTCCAATTCCCCTTACTCAGCATCAGACACCGTTCTGCAGGTAACACTGAAAATAATCTGTGACTTTTCGAGTACTATGGGGCGAAGGAAGCAGTTCTGGTGGTGCAGTACCTAAGGCATTTGACCACTAACCAGAAGGCTGGTGGTTTGAACCCACCAGCCACTCCGTCAAAGAAAGACTGGGCAATCTACTTCCGTAAAGATTTACCACCTCGGAAACCCAATGGGGGTCACTATGAGTCAGAATTGACTCGATGGCAGTGTTTTTTGTTTTTTTTTTTTTAATGGGAAGAAGCTGAAAAAAATGTAGGAACAGTTTGAGAGAACCAAACTCTTGAGAGATTTTTAAGCAAGATAGGCCTGTTAACAGGGTAGCTCCCCAGACCAAAAATATTTTTCTTCATACAACCTAAAGTGTTACAATTTCACTATTCTACTATTAAAATCTCACCAAGGAAAGGTTCACTCTGGATTAAGAAGCATCCTCTTTTAAAATACTAACACTTCTGAGAAGTTCATCATCACTCACGGCTTAATGAAAATTTATTTTATTAGATGTTGTCCTCTTGCAATCTAGTCGAGAACAGCTGCTCTGAGGTACTAAGAATTTTGACAAAAGTGAACACCGCAATGGGTAATTTTGAGGTAAGGAGAATCTTAAGGATTGTAGCATGCTTGACTAGTTGGGTGCCCCAGAGGGCTGGATAAACAGAAGAGCATTAGCTATATGGGGAAGGATAAGGAGAAAAGCACAGACAGGGAGATGGAGGATGCCAAAGACAAACTTGGCCTATTTCAGAATTGCCTCACCGCAAGCTCTACATCCAGGAAGGGAAAGGAAAAACTTTATTCCTTCTCTCTATTCCTAGTAACTAAAAGACATCACTTTTTTATTTCCAAGCCTTTGAACATACTCTTTCCTCTGCCTGGAAGATGATTCTCCATCTCCTCCTATGCCCCCTGACTTTTACCCCCTTTGCCTGGTTAACTCTTACTCATCCTTCCCTCCAGGCAGCTTCTCTGCCCCACCTCCAACTGGGTGACAGGCCTCCTTACATTGTACTTGTCCTTACCCTGTCTCAAAGAGCTCTGATGGCATAGTGGTTAGCACCTTTAGCTGATAACCAAAAGGTTGGTGGTTCAAACCCACCAGCTGCTCTGTGGAGGGAAGACTGAGGCAATCTACTTCTGTAAAGATTTACAAACTTGGAAATTTTATGGGCAGTTCTACCCTGTCCCATAGGGTCACTATGAATTGGAATTGACTTAATGGCAATGTTTGTTTTTTGGTTTGGTTTACCCAATCTCTGCATGTCTCTCACAGTATTGCCTACTTCCTAGAATTTTCTCTTCATTAGAGTGCAAGTTCTTTAAGAGCAAGGACCCAATTGTCTCCCTAGTACGAGCTACAACAAGTCAGGCACAAATCTACATAAGTGTTTCCTAGGTAGTTGATGAATGAAAGAGTTCAACTATGACAGGAGTTAAATAGGCTTTTTTTTTTTAGGTTGACTAGGGATGTATTAAGGGGGAGCTCTGGTGGCATAGTGCCTAAGGCACTTGACTGCTAACCAGAAGGCTAGCGGTTCAAACCCACCAGCCACTCCTCGGAAGGAAGGCTGGACAATCTACTTCCGTAGTGATACTGCCTCGGCAACCCAAGTAGGGGTCGCTATGAGTCGGGTCCGACTCAATGGCACATAACAACAACAACAAGAATCTATTATGGATTGAATTGTGTCCCCCAAAATCATGTGTTGTAAATCCTAATCACTAGATCTGTGGTTATAATCCCATTTGGGAATAGGTTTTCTTTGTTAGGTTAAGTCATATCAATATAGGCTGTATTTTAAACTAATTACCTTTGAGATATAAAAAGAACAGACTAGGTATAGAGAAGCAAGCAGAGATGGGGGGATGATAGATGTCATGCCACAAAAAATCACCAAGAAGCCAAGGAATAGAAGTTGAAGACACAAGTACCTTCCCTCAGAACTGACAGAGAAAGCCTTCCACTAGAGCAAAGATGTCACTTTGAGGACTAAGATGTACCTGGCACAAGCCACTATCTTTTCAATAGCCTGATATGCATGTGAAAGCTGGACAATGAATAAGGAATACTGAAGAATTGATGCATTTGAATTATGCTGTTGATAAAGAATATTGAATATACCAGAGACTTCTAGAAGAATGCACAAATCTGTCTTGGAAGAAGTACAGCCAGAATGTTCCTTAGAAGAGAGAACGCCCAGACTTCACCTCTCATGCTTTCATCATGTTATCAGGAGGGACCAGTCCTGGCAGAAGGACATCATGATAGGTAAGGTAGAAGGTCAGCAAAAAAGGGGAAGCCCCTCAGTGAGATGGACTGACCCCGTGGCTGCAACAATGGGCACTCAAGCATAGCAGTGATTGTGAGGATGGGGCATTGTTGTACACAGGATTGCTATATGTCAAAAACAACTTGATGGTATCTAACAACAACAGTGAAGCCCTGATTTCTGACTTCTAACCTCCTAAACTGTGAGAAAATAAATTTCTTTTCATTAAAGCCACTCACTTGTAGTATTTCTCTTATAGAAAAC